GTGTGTGTGTGTGTGTGTGTGTGTGTGTGTGTGTGTGTGTGTGTGTGAGAGAGAGAGAGACAGAGAGACAGAGAGACAGAGACAGAGAGACAGAGACAGAGAGACAGAGAGAGAGAAAGAAACAGTGTTAGAGAGAGAGAGACAGAGAGACAAAGAGAAGAGAGGAACAAGCAAGATTAAGTCTATGTAGCACAGTTAACTTCGTAGTTGATCTTTGGTCGTTGATATAAGAGTCTTTGTCTACAGCATGTCTAACCTACTTGGCAAACTCCAGGTCACTGAGAGACCATGTCTTAAGAAAAAAAAATTTAAGGAAGAAAGAACAAAGGAAAGGAAAAGTGGACAGTCTTAAGGAATGACATCAGAGGTTGTCCTCCTGTAGGTATGCAAATATACACGTAACCCCCATACACACAAATGCACATGCATACATAAAATAAAAGGAAAATTGACCCACTTTAAGGAGACCATTTGGAATAAACCTTGCTTTTTATTGGGCCCTTTACCCTTGCTGTTAGAAATAGAATCCAATGTGTTTTGTCAGGACAAGTTTACATATCAGCTACCCGCAGGAGCACTACGCAGGAGGGCAGACATCTCAAGAGGAAGAAGTAACTCAAAGGAGAGCATCCAAAGCCTGTGGTTCATCCACATGCTTCTCTCACCATAGATACTTGAGGAAACAAAAACAAAAATAAAAAGCAATCGCCACAAGCTATCACAGCACACTTTGCTGAGTCACTGGGTTGAGATAATTTTTAATGGCATGTTTATTTCCAGAAGACTGTTCAATTTTTAATAGGACCATTCCTATTTTGAGTCTAAGTTGGAGAGTTTTGCTTACCAATACATTCAAAGCTTTGGCTCTGTCAAAACACAGAGTGCTGTCAGAGACACAGAAAGCCTGACAAAGAGCACACAACTTAAGTGAACTCTGATGCCCATCATAGACAGACAGACACACACACACACACACACACACACACACACACACACACACACGCACACACATGCGAAGGAAGTACGGACTGAAGATATTACAAAGGAGTTTGAAACTTGAGATCAAAGCACAGGGCTCGTCCTAGTACCCCCAGGGAGATGCTGTGTGACTTGGGCTCATCACTAAATATTTCTAATCTTCAGTTCTCCCACCTGGGAAATAAAATGAAAATGGAAGTCTTCATCTCATTGTTAGTCATTGTCGAGAGGCAACAGTGAGATCATGTCTGGGAAAGCACTAAAATTATCAACTGATGTTCTGGCTGAAGAAGGATGTGCTCCCCCTGGAATCATCCCAGAGCTCTTAAAATGCTAAGGTACCTAAAAACTGAAATCACCCTTCATGTTTCTTGGAGAACCTGAAAACCAAAGCCAGCCTTCTTCTTGGTCCTCGGAGACTTGAGTTTTCTGCAAGTAACTCAGAAAATTAGCTCTTACACTGAAAATGAAATCTAATTTTAAGAAATACCAGAATTCCGTAGGACATTGCTGACCAGGGGTGTTTCCTCTTTCAAAATCACTATAATATAAACAGCATCTACTCCTGGAAATTCTTCCAGTGTCTTGGACACCAAGTCTGCAGCTTTTTCATTTTCTGAGTTCGTTGCTGTTTCACCAATTGATTCAGATGATGCCCTTCCCAATCTCCCTCCTGATGAATCTGTCTCGTCCAAATCACAGGGTGGAAGTTACTCTCCTATTCACTTCTCTCCCTTCAGGCTAGGCCTTCTGAGTTCCAGCAATTCATTAACCAGAACTACTCCAGCCTCAGAACAACATAATGGGTGATGCTTTGAAAACCAGATTCTGCCATATGGTTGGAATCATACAATCCTATCAACATTGACTTCAGAAATCATATTCTTTATGGATTTATAAGATTATAATGGTAGACACCTCTTATATAGTCAAATATCTAATAGAAGACCATTTGTAAAATAGAATTAGTCTAGGCTGCTAGGGTGGGGGTAGGAGCTACAGTCCTCATGCGTTACACTGCCCGTTTCTTCAGTAGACAGACAAGATTCCTGTGGGACACCTAAAATCACTCACAGTACTCTAGCCTTCCCTGCAGTGCTTCAGTCTCATCCACAGGGACCTGGCATTGTGGTGGCAGGTCAGCCTTTCAGCATTTCCCATGATGCCCAATCTCCCGAAGACTTGCTTTACCAGGAGAAGCTAAACTGTTGACTTAGAAAGTTTATTTCTTTATCATTTGACAACTCACTTTGTTGATTCTAAAACCTAACCAGAACACTCCCTCTTCGGCATAAGCATGTAAATCAATCATATTCCTCTGAAAACATGTTCTTACAAACTTATTTATTTATTTATTTGTCATTTTTCATAATATAAAAATGTGTGGATCTATTTGCTTGGTTCTAATTGTTCTGTTTGGGACATATTTTAGTTTGTCCCTCCTAGAACACTTTTGTGCCCAAGAACCGTAAACAGCAATTCCTATATCGACTGCAAGCATCAAGTCTCTCACTTGGAAACTTCTGCTCCATCCGTGTCATCCCTAATTGCCTTGATCCTGGGGAGATGTGTGGATCTTAATCAGCTAATCCCCCAAATCTCCATCCAGTCCGCCACTCCAGAACCACATCTCCCGTATTATGAACTTGTAAAATTGTTTGTGTTGCTTCGTGTGGTTATTTTCCTTTGCTTTGGCACATGGTGTCAGCCACACAGCTCTGTTAGAGAGACTTCCAGGTTCTTGTCATTTATAGGGCCTGGTTTGTGGCATCTGGTGAATCAATGTCTCAAGATTTGTTTGCTCTTTACTCTGCCTATCACGAAGAAGCCCTCTTCTTCATAACTCCTCTAGCTTATATTAATATAAGCTGCATGGGGAGGGTTGATTACTTTGTATTCAAACTAGGCAATAATGGATGCTCATTTACATCTGACATGACAAACTCCCTCTAACTGCATTTTTTTGAAGTCATTGGGAGATTCACTGGAAGCCAGAGAGAATAGGAGTGGTCATGAACTGGTTTGATTTACATCCTCCACTACCACCACCACCACCCACCCATTCACCCACCCACCCATGCCTGAAACAAAACCTCCTCCCAACCAGGAGCTCTATCTGCAGTTAAACGAATGACTTTTTAAGCATTAGGCTCTATGTCTGAATTTTCATTCTTCCCTAGAAATTTTCTCAGCTTTGTGGGTTTCAGCCAGATCCTCTGCTTTCCTTGAGCATATTTTCATGTGGTTTCATAATATTTATTCAACATTATTTTCCATTAGTTCTCTAATTTTAATTGTTGGTAACCATTTCAGTGTGCTGCTATTACACGGTGCAGAGCTGATTTATCCACATTAACGTCTGAGACCATGACCCACTTTTATTTGCTGCGTGGTCAGCCCCGGTATTCATGGCAGGTTTTCTGAATATTTCTGATGAAGTTGTTAAGCACATGCAATTCTGAAAACACATTCCCATTCAGTAAGACTTACACAGGATGGTAAGCCCAACATGGCAAAAGGTTTCTAAAAAATTCCATAAACATTAAGCATATTTATGCCATAGCATTAAGTTTGGTCAATTTGAAACGTACTGTATTGTAGTATAAGAGGTACTTTGTTTGCTATGTTTACTTTCCCAGGAGTAAATGCGTTTTGGTTAACCACAATGGCAAACTTAGTCAAGACATTTGTGTCAACAAATCCTACTGCTCAACAAAGTCACATTCTTAGTTTCTAGGACAGCAGACTGGATTCTAAGTAATAAGGTGTTTACAAGGCGTGCTGTAAATCTGAGTCTATAAACATGTCTAATTTTCTGTTAAACCTGCCGCTGTGCATGAAGTACAATCAGTTCTCTCTTTGGTTTTATGGTAGCCAGTATGTTGGGTTGCCAGTCATGATCACTGTTGATTCTACTATTCCCAAAGCCTCCTGCCAAGCTCTTGACCCAAGTCATGCTCCCTGGTGATGTCATAAGGCCACTAAGAATTTGCTCATTCACTGGACCTGCTGGGATGCCCCAAGAGTCACATACCTTCTCTGTTACTCATGCACTCCTTGGAGAATAACACCTTGAAAATGGCAGAGACACTCCCTTGCTCCCTTCCCTAATTTCAAAGCTATTACATTTTTAAATCTTTAATAATGAGCTTATGGATATAGTAAGATGATTATTACATTTATGGAAATCACTTTCA